CAAAAAACAGATGAATGAATTTTTTAAAAAAGTGGTATATATCAACCATGAAATTTTAAATTTTGTTCATCCATACTAAAGAATGACAATTTTTTGTAGTAACATGGATTAAACTAGAGGTCATTTTGTTAAGTAAAATAAGCCAGGCACAAAAAGACAAATATGGTACGCTCTCACTTACATGTGAGAACTAAAAAAGTGGATCTCATGGAGAGAGAGAGTAGACTGGTGGTTAGCGGAGGATAGGAAGGGTGGAGGGGAGCGAGGGATGAAGAGAGGTGCTTGATGTGTACCAAAATATAGTTCGATAGGAGAAAGAAGACCTAATGTTTGATAGATCAGTAGCGTGACCATAATTTACAATAATCTATTACATATTTCAAAATAGCCAGGAGAGAATAATTCAAATGTTTCTAGTATAAAGGAAAGACGAATATTTAAGGTTAGGGATATCCTAATTACACTGACTTGATCTTTACAACAAATCTTTATATGAATGTACTAAATTATCACATGTAACCCCAAAATATGTACATCCATTATTTATCTATTAAAAAAATTGAAAGGATTTGGCCAAAGAGGAAATCAAAAGGGAACTTATAAATCCCCTTGGAAGCAACGGAAAAGAATGTACTTTCTAATAAAACTCGTGGGACACAGTGAAAGTTATATTTAGAAGGAAAAGGGTAATTAAGCATTCATCTTGAGAAATGAATAAAGGCACTGTGAAGAACTAGAATGGATCTGATATTTTACCCTACTCACAGACTAATGCAGTCAGCCAGTTTCACAGATGCTGGAAGAAGACATGAGACTTCTGGGTCAGAAACAAAGGACCATGTGAGCCCTGACTGGGCAGGCAGCACGGGCTTCAGGTTCATACCAGGCTCCTTGCTTCTGAGTCCCCTGAGGCCATGCAGCGGTGGCCCAGGGGAAGGCTGCAGGCATGGTGGGCTTGTGTCACAGCTAAGGGACTCCAAGCTTGGGCAACCCTAGTCTTTAAAGGCACTGCAAGCAAATCTGCTCAAACTCTCCTAGAGACAGAATTTTTTTTTAATCTACTGGTTGGCAAGCACATTTGTCCCCTGCCCAAAAGGGGAACAATATATCTACTTTCCAAGGCTGTTCACTTTAAAAGTCTTTTGAAAAGACAGTCTGCAACAAAAGCTGTCATTATCTCCGCTCAGATATTCAGAAGTGGGAAAGACTCATGGAGAAAGGTCTCCCAAGAAGTCCAAAAAGAGAAATTAGGAAGAGGGAAATAAGAAATGGAAATGCATCAAATGTGTTTTTCGAAGTCTGTGAATTCATAATGATATTCAGAAAAATCACTGGTCTCCTCTGTAGGATGCTGGAGTACCAACTTGTGATGCTGAAAAGTGGTAAACAACAGAAAATGAGTGAGCATTTATTTTGCCTTTCCTGCAGGGACTACATTTCAGAGTACACATATAGTTGATAAAGAACAGCACCTCTTGCAGAATTGTAGCTGAAATATAACTGAAGGACTATCAAGATACGGCAATTCCGAATGAAACACTGAATCCAGTAGGAATTATGAATAGTTGCTGAAGCAAATGGATGATGATGGGTGGAATCGTAATGGATGCATCTGGATAGAAACACCAGAACGCACCAATCGATCATAGTATCACAGAGATCCCAGGACACCACGTGCCTCCTGAGTGATGGGATAGGAATTCCATTTCCCCTTCCTCTCATGTAATATTTCTGGGGCAGGGTCCTGATTTCTCAAAGGGCACTATTGTAAGTTGAATTGTCCCCCAAAAGTTATGTTGAAATCCTAACTCTGACTACCTGTGAATGCAACCTTATTTAGAAATAGGTTCTTCACAGATACAATCATGTCAAGATGAGGCCATCCCAGGTCAGAGTGGGTCCTCATCCCGTGACTAGCGTGCTTATAAGAAGAGAGAAATTCGGACACAGACACAGAAAGGGAGAGAAGACCATGTGAACACAGAGGCAGAGATTAGGGTGATTCATACCCAATCCAAGGAGGGAACCCCACAGATGGCTGGCCACCCACAGAAGCCAGGAGAGAAACCTGCAGCAGATTCTCCCTCTGGGCCCCAGAAAGAACCAATCCTGCCCACACCTTCGCTTCAGACTTCCAAACTTCAGAAATGGGAGAGAATATATTTATTTGAGCCACCCAACTCGTGAGACTTTGTTATGGCAGCTCCCAGAAATGCATAGGTCCCAGTAGGAATGCATCCCATGTGCCTATAGCAATACCCTGCCATCAAGGCAGCCTTGTGTTTAGCTTCTCCCCTTCCCTGTCCCATCTCCCCACTTTCTCCTTTGTGCTTTTCATGGTCTCTTCCCAAATAGGCAGCCTGCACTGAAGCCCTGGTTCAGGGTCTGCCTTCTGGGACAGGAGAGGACAGACCAAGGCAGATGGTATCAGAGGGGACCTTGGAAAGCAGATGCCCAGGAAGAGAATCCCAAGGCACATCTCTCCCCAGCCAGATGGCATGGCCTTAGGACACTGTGTCAGTCAGTGTTCTCCAGAGAAACAGACCAATAGAATCTCTCTCTGTTGACCAATGGATCAATCAGGACAAAGAGAGAGAGAGGGAGGGGAGCGAGATTTGTTACAGGGAATTGGCTCATGTGACTATGGAGGTGGGCACATCTGCTCTGCAGGGGGCCCACAGGCTGAAGAGCCAGAGAAAATCCTCCCTTACTTGGGGAAGGTCAGTCTTTTTTTCTATTCAGGCTTTCAACTGATTAGATAAAGCTGACCACATTGGGGAGGGCCATCTACTTTACTCAAACGTTCATTATATCCCAAAACCCCCTCTCACAGACACACACAGAATAATATTTAACCAAATGTCTGGGCACCCTGTAGCCTCGTCAAGTTGACACATAAAACTCACTGTCACAGACGCCATTGTTGATGCACCATGAGTGTCAATCTCCCATGCCCATTCTGTACCATCAGAGTGTGCCTCTCATCTGTGCGGAACTGGCATGTGGAGCAGGTGCAGTGGAGGCGCTGGCTCATGAAATAATGCTAATGCCTGCAGTTGAATTGTCCCCCAAAAGATACGGTGGGCTCTGCTGAATCAGAGGTCACTGCCGGGGGCGGCCCTCAATCCAGAGTCCATGGGTAAAGTCAGCTTTCCTGCCCTCTGGCCAGAAGGTGCTGAGACTTTTTCCACTTGTTTCTCAAGGACCCCTAGGGGAACAGAGCCTAGTGCTCATTTTCACCCCGACTCCCTTACCTGCTTCCCTTCCCTTCCTCACTGTCCTTCCTGGGGTCACTCCCTAGCAAGCGACTTGCACCCAATTTGTTGGCTCAAGGGTCTGCTTCTAGGGAAAACCCAACCGGGATAAAGGTCTTGTTGGCGTCACGTTTCATAATATACTACACCAGTCAAATGCTTTCTGATCCTGCATACTTCTCCAGCCATATGTGTTGATAAATTAATGTTTCCTGCCTTACATCTTTTAATGTTAGCATTTGACCATATTTATCCCACATGAATAGGACCTTGTTTCATACAATAACACACAGCAGATACAATGAGCTGCATAGAGCCACTTCGTAGTGCGTTCTCCAGTCTAAACGGGGTCCAATTGGATAAAGGCAGCTCTACAGGGAGTGATTACTACCCACTCTAGGTAAATGGTCATCTGCTTGTCCAGCTTAAGTGTAGAGTGGATTTTGCCTTATTTTTTAGATTTTGGCATTTTTATAGTGACCCCACACACGCTGAGTTAGCAGGGTTCAGCTGAGCTTTGGGTGGTAAATGGTTTGCAGTTGGGTTTGTGGGTGAACTCCTAACAGTGATGTGGAAGGTGGCTACCAGGCACTAGCAAGCAGCCAGGCTGACATCCTCTTGTTAGAAAGGAGGGACATGAAGACACAGGCTTGCGTGGAAAGCCGTTCTCCACTCTTAAGGCAAGGCCAGAGCGGAGCCACAGAAAGGGCTAAACTCCTTAGACAATAGTCTTAACTGGAGTTAACCCAATAGCCCAAAAGTGATGGGCACCAGGTTGCACTCCGCGTGGCCTCTGTAATAGGAACTTGGGAAAGTGGTAAGGAAGGTTTAACCAAAATGCCCACTTTGGATACTAAAACAACTCAATTAAGCACCTAAAAGTATCTAGCTTTGAGCAATGTTACTTTCTAAAATCCCTTCCAAATAAACCCTTTTTCTGAAATTAATATATACCCAACATAAAAGAACGCAACTAGTAACCATAAAGTGTTTAAAAGTCTGGGCTTCTCCCCACCAAGGAAAGAGGAGTTGTAATAGCTGGACTGTGGGTCTCCAGTCTGACAAGAATTGGATCTCTGCTCCACTGGTCTCCTAAGGCCACTCCCTAGAATTGGCTTTCTTTTAATTGAGTCTATTTGAATCTTACTCAAGTCTACCAGCTTATAAGTACCAGAACGAACTTAGTAGGATTCGAAATGGTAAGGACTGCATTAAATTATCTCTCTAATTCAGCAGTAAGGAAACTGAACAGGAGTCTCGGTGGACAACCACCCCCCCCGGGTTGACAACTTTCCTTCCATGAAGACACTGGGTACAAGCCTTGATGTAGCTGTTAATTGCCCTCCTGTTTCCTAGAAAGCTTGTACGGCAGCATCAGGAAACGGGTTAGGTATGCCTTTCCTGGTAGGAGCCCAGCTTTGGGTCTCATCTCTGCCACTTGTTCGGCATCTGATCAGTAAAAGGGGACCATGGTGGGAGGCGAGGCAGTAGACAGCACTTTGTGAGGGTTCCTAACCAGTCGCTGTTATCACCGAGCACATTGTCCTCGTAATCCAGAATTCAAACTGGCATTTGAATATTTTGCGTATTTGCAAAGAAAATTTTAACTACTTAACTCAGGCTAGAAATAAAAGCAATTAGTGATTGCAAGAGAAATCCACCGGCAGAAGGCAGAGGGAGACGACTTAAGCCTCTGATTATTTTTGGAAGCTTTATATGCTTTCTAGCCTTTGTCATTGAATGGATTAATGTATGTGCCTGGCACAGAGTAAGCGCTTTGCTTGTTAAACTGCCCGCGGGTCACAGCGAGCAAACTGGGGGAGCGCCCAGGGACAGTAGATGGAGTGAGTGCAGGCCCGCGTCCTTTTAAGAAGCGGCTCCATTTCTTCCTCGCATGTCAATGTGTGCGTGTCATCAGTTGTTCGAGGAAGCTCGCGCATGACGCGACACTTGCCGTCTGGGCTCTCCAGGTTCGGCGTGGCCCGTTCACAGCCCAGATCTTCGGCATCCCAGAGACGCAGCCCGGCGCCCGGCCCGGCCCTCCGCAGAGCCCCACTTCAGGCCGCGCCGTTTCCTTGACCTTCCCCCGGTGGGGTCTGAAGCGTCACGGCCCGTCTAGAGCGGAGTCACGCAGGCCCCTGCCCGGCCCGGTGAGGTCGGCGCCGCGCTCGGGAGAGTCGGTTCCTTCCGATTCAGACCCATCTGGCTGCAGATGGAACCATCATTTGTGTTCCGTAATGACCGGCTTGCAAGGTAGCAAAGGGAAACAAATGTCTGGTTTTCAGCCTCTCCCCGCCACCTTGAAATAAAACCGGCAAAAATAAAAAGAGCATTCTGGGAAGTACTTCATCATTTCAACGCTCACGAATTCAAAACATAAACAAAGGGTTCCCGGGGTCCGGGCCAGGGGCGCGGGGCGCGCGGCGGGCCCGGGGCAGGTGAGCGCAGGTGCGCGCCCGCCCCCCACCCCGGGTACCCCCGGCTCCCTCCCCACCCGCTCCCCGCTCCCCGCTCCCCTTTCCCTTCCCCGCCCGCTCCCCGCCGCCGCCGCCGCCCCGCGCACGGCCTGGAGCGGAGGCTGCGCAGGGCGCGGGGCGGCGCGGGCCGGGCGCGGGCCGGGCGGACGACCGCGTCTTTCTTCTCCTGGCGGTGATGTCATTGGGCGACGGCGGCCGAGGCCGGGGGGCGGCGGCGGGGGCGGCGGCGGGGGCGGCGGCGGGCGCCCGCAGGTTCCCGAGCCGCTCCTGAGAAAGCGCCTGACAGCGGGCCGGGGCGCACGGAGGAGCGGGCCGGGCCGGACCTGCTGGGCCGCGCCGAGCCAATCGCCGGCGCCGGCCGCTCCATGGGCGAGGAGGCGGCGGCGGCGGGGGCGGTGGGGGCCGCGGGCCGGGCCGCCGCTCCGAGGTGAAAGCGCGCGCCCCTCCCCGCCTGCCTCCCGGGCCGCAGCGATGAATTCCGCGGAGCAGACCGTTACGTGGCTCATCACCCTGGGGGTGCTGGAGTCGCCCAAAAAAACCATCTCGGACCCGGAGGGCTTTCTGCAGGCGTCGCTGAAGGATGGGGTGGTTCTCTGCAGGCTGCTGGAGCGCCTGCTCCCCGGGACCATCGAGAAAGTAAGTCCCGGCCCGCGCCCCCGCCCGCGCCCCCCGGTCCGGCCCGCTGCGGCCCGGGATGCGCGCGGAGCACCTGGGGCCGGCCGCGCTCGGGGAACCCGTGCGCCCTCCTTTGTACGCGGAGCGGCGGTACGGCCGGCGCCAGGACCGTGGCGGGAGCTCGGGGGGCGCCATTGTGTGCGGGGCAGGGGGAGGGGACCGAGGAGGGGGTCGGGGGGAGGGGCGGCGCGGGCGGGGGGTCCCCGGGAAGGAGAGTGCCCCGCGGCGAGGAGACGGGGCTGCTGCGCCGCCCGAACGCTAAGTTGCCCCTCCGCGTGGGGGGCCGGCCCCGCTTCTTGGCAGCAGCCTGATCCGAAGCCGCGTTCCGACGCCGTGCGGCTCCCTCCGCTGGCTTTGTGTGGACAGTTCTTGCCGGCGGCGTTGCGTGAGTTTCGCCTCCCGGGTTAATTGACCGGTTGCTCTGTGTTTTTTAAGATGCACGCATCTGTAGCTGAGGGCTGCGCTCTGAAATGATCTACTACTTTCCCCCTCGAGAAAATTCCCCACCTATCCGAGCCGAGAGGACGGCGGACACAGGGTCTAAGCCCTGGCACTCTTCAAGGCTTGTTTGAAATTCTAGATTTCCTTCTCAGGTCCCTCCCTGGTTCTGAACAGAACCTTTAGTCCTGCAGGCACTGCCTCTCCCTTCCGGCTGGTGGTTCCCAGGCTGGAGCGTGTGAACCCTGACCCGAATCTCTGGAAGTGATTAAAGTTTGTTTTCATCGCCCACAAGCCGGCCAGCAGGGCCCAGGACCCAGGAGAGCTGCTAAAAACCATGTCTCCCTGTAGCTCAAAATACTAACATCTTATTCTCAGGGTGTTTTCTCGGGGAGTGGGGTGGAGGTGGGGGTGGCCAAGATATAGCGTTAAGATCAACAGTTATTTAAAAGGTGTGAAATGTAGAAACTGAAGTGTATCATAATTAGGAAGAAGGATTTCAGTTTTTAAGTGGGGTGTATTGGCCCCCATACAGGAAGACAACTTATAAACAAAATGCCACGTAAGTGACTTGAAAAAGTAAAATGTTTAATCTTATTCATACACATGCACATATTCTGGTGCTGCATTTTAAATGAGGTCAGAAAACATTTAATATGAATTTGGCTTGCGTTCCAGTTTTAGGTATTTTTCTTACTTGGAACATCTTTATGAAAACGGAATCTGCATATTAGAGTGAATGGCTGCCTGCCTGTCCATGAAATAAAAATGTTCCTTAGAAATGAACCTGATGTCACAGTGAAATTACGATTTAAGACAGGAGGACTAAGGAGCAGGATCTGACTTTCAAGGCATTCAAAATACTTTGCTGTTTGGATACTGGTACCTCTGGTAATAAAAGACAGATGTTGAGAAGTTTTGAAATACATGCAAAGTTCACCAAAATAGGCTTAAATAAAATTCTCTTCCATCTCCAAGAGCAAAGTTTTAAGAAACGTCATATGCTGTGTTGATAAAAACGTGTCGCCATCAAAGAATACGTTGTTTGGCATATTAACTGCATTAATATTGATTGGCAGACTTAAATAATCATCTTCTTTTAAATTATAGAAAGATTTTCCTACAAAATGGTAGCATTCATTTCATCTCTAAAACAACAAAGAGAAGAACGAATAAAATGTTGAGCTTGCAGAAGCCAAGTTGAAACAACTCAACATATTCTAAAACTACAGTCATTTGGAAATTTCTTAGGTCAAAGCTGTTTTTCATTCCCCCTGAGCTGTAGTTGGTTTGTTTTAAACTGACTCTGTCACAATGAAAGTTTAATGTCAAGGTAGCATATTGTAGACACAGTTACTGGTTCTCTGGAGTTCAAAGGTAGGTTTTTGGAGTAAAATATTAGCCATTCTCTGCCTCTGAGAGCCCTGCGTTTCAGAAGTTTTGTGAGCTTTTTCCATTTCCCAGGCAGAGTTATCTGGCCGGCCGGCCTTCCTTCCTTCCTTCCTTCCTTTCTTTTTTCCTTTCTTTTTCTTCCTTTCTTCCTTTCTTTCCTTTCTTTCTTTCCTTTCTTTCTATGGGTTCTTGGTATGTTGGCCAGGCTGGTCTTGAACTCCTGGCCTCAAGGGATTGTCCCATCTCGGCCTCCCCAGGTGTTGGGATTACAGGCGTGAGCCACCACGCCCAGCCAATTATCTGGGTTTTTGGTGTTTTCATGCTTACCAGATAATTTATGCCACGAAGCACACAAGCTGAATAACTTTTACTGAAATGTGGGAATGTGAGTCTGAGGATGTTTTTTCCTTAAAAAGAAGCATTTGGAAACTTAACTGAATATTCATGTGGACATGACAGGGGCTTCACTTGACCTCTGCTGCAGGAGTGCCCTGACAGCCAGTGAGTGGAGGGCAAGTGGTCTGCAGCCTTCGCCTCTGCAGTCTCACAACCTGGCATGGGCCATGAGGCTGGGGATGAGGGCAGAACTAAGAAACGTGGCTGGGTGCCTTGGGCTTCCCATATGTCTTTTATTAAGAAACCATGTCCTAATGTGTTTCTTCCATTACGCTCATTTGTTCTGTTTCAGAGTTAGGAAGAGGGTGGAGGGAGCAGAGAGGACGTTCACAGAGTGTCAGATTCTTCTGCTCATTTAAAGGAAACTTTCCACCCAGGTTCCCGCTTTGCTTTCAAGGTGGAAGGTTAGACGGTGAGAAGATGGAATTATAAACTACATGAACAGTTCAGAAAAGAGACACTTTTCATTATACTGGACAGATGTTTTCTGCTGTAGGGGAGAGGAAAATGGGATTAAAAATTTTTCCCTTCTCTGTATCTGGAGATCCTGTGCTTTGGTTATCCCCAGGAGGGGCCAGGATATTTGGCTGGGCTGCCCACACCTTCGGCTTCCCACACTCCTCTCGTAGCAGACACTCTCAGGGTCGTGGCATCTAGGGAGCCCTGGTAGCCCTTTTCTCACAAATTCACTTTAAACATCCCTAAGGGTATTTAGTCAAAGGAGGTGAAATCAAGATAGATGAATTTTAGAGGATGGAAAATTTTATAAGACAAATACAATACATAAAAATCATGGAAATCATGAAATGCTCTTTTAATTTCACTGGTGAATGCAACAAATGAAGTCTCTTAACTCACTATGAAAAATTCAAGGAATTGGTTCTTTCTGTGTGTGTCCCAGGAGAACAGAACACAGAGAACCTACCTGTGTAATCCACGTGACGTGCTCCCGAGAGACCCTGGCTAGGTGTTTGTGGAGCGTAATTGAAAGTCAGACGCCGCCTCTGGTCTTAGTGCTGGATGCGGAGGCATTTGTCTCTCAGCTCCGGAGGCCCAAAGTCTGGGATCAAGGTTCCTGCAGGGCCTTGTGCCCTCAGAAGGCTCCAAGGAGTGGTCTGTCCCAGGCCATTCTCAGGCTTCTGGTAGTTCCTGGCTTGTGGCAACCCAAGTCCAATCTTCACATGACGTCCGTGCTGTGGTTTCTTCTTTGTATCCAAATTCCTCCTTTTTAGCAGGACATCAGTGGAATTGCATTAGGGGCACCCTACCCCAGGATGGCCTCATCCTAACCGATTCCATCTGCATTGACTTCATTTCTGAATAAGGCCCCATCCTGAGATACTGGGAGTTAGGACTTCAAAATACGAATGCTGGAGGAGCACAGTTCAGCTCACGACAGGTTGTTCCTACATTTGAACCAGATCAGTTTATTAGCTATCGATCTGATTGCATGATGCCAGGTGCTAGGGGAGATTACAAAACCTAAATAATAGAGTCTTGGGGGTTCTAGTACAGAAAACAGGAAAGACGAGAACAGCATGAGGCAGTAGGAAGTCAAGAGTCATTAATGTCAGATATGGACGAGAAGGAGCAAAAGAATCAAGGAGCTAAAAAGACCAGCATTCGAGCAGGTCAGACCCGAGACTTCACTGACATGTGGGTAAGAATATGGTTTGCACTTCCCAAACTGTAACCTGGCAGCCCTAGGTGGTTTTCCACAGGCTGGCAGAAAATCAGCAAATCTGATGTCACGTAGGAAAAAGAAAATACTTTTTTCCAGGTGAACTGGAGACTCGCTTTCTGCTCAGTCTTAGGATTCTGGGGTTGGTTAGGGGCTGGGGTGGGGAGAAGCATAAGTGCCCACCTGCTAGAAATGTGCCTTTTCTTAGGTCCTAAAAAGAACGTGGTCAGTGATCACGTGTGTGGTAGGGTGAGGTTCTCACTCAGGCCCGTGACCTGTACCCGTAGTAATGACTTGTTGATTGGCTAAATCACTTACAGAGAAAAGTTACAATATGATATCTCCAGACTGTGTTTTTAAGGAGACTTCTTTAAACCCTGCAAACTGAATGCTTGGTTATATCAAGTTGCTTCTAACTAAACTACTCTGAATATGGTTTCAGAATAGTGATTTTTGCAATAATAAACATTTACTTTTGAAGCTTGTGACTTTATAGTCCTGTCTCAACCTTGAGCCAGTGTGATTCTGGTTTGGGTTTCAGGCCTAGGGAAGAAGGTAGCTGGAACTGCATTTGCTGGCTCACTAAAAAGAAAGCAAACAAACTGAAATTCAATTTAAATCAGGAGCGCCTGAAGAGATTTCCTGAGAACCAGACTAGAAACTAGTGTTTATGTTGGCATCACACAGACACAGGAGTGCACACACACACATGCATACATGCACACTTGCACATGCCCGTACACACACATGAACACATGCACACACACATGCATGCCTGCACAAGCATGCACACAAAAATATGCATGTAAATACACATGCACACACAGACCCATGCATGTAAATTCACATGCACACACACACATGTAAATACACATGCACACACACACAGACACGTCTGGGGTTGAGAGAGTGGGGGAAGGAGTGCTGGCGCATGTGGCATTCCATTTTCTCAGGGGCAGCTGCTCTGTGAACTCTCCAAGCCGAGTCCAAAGGGTGCCGTCTCAGGACCCGGCCCTCATTCTATTAATAGAAGTCACTCCAGAATCTGCCTGCT